TCGTGAGCCAGTGTCATAATTGCTGATCGCACTCTTCCGGAATCACGAACCGCCCGCCCATCATCAAGATGCCGTCGACCACAGTCAGCTGATCTCGGATGAGGTAGTACTGCTGCTCGCACGACGAGAGATCATGCCATGAATTAGTCAGCACGCGTTGGGTTACTTTGCTTGCGACTGGGTCATCTCGAGCAGCACAGCGAATGTCGTCGAGACTTACCGGGGCTGCCTCCAGCACTAGACCAACATACTCGTGTAGAGAACGCGATTCTGCAGGCGAAGCATCCGTTGTTGGAACAGGGGCTCTGGACAGCGCATCAGTGCAGAATAGCTCCTTACCCGGCACGTGCTTCAGGGTATAATCGTAAGGCATAAGAGCCACCAACCACCGTTGGAGTCGAGGGGGAACATCGTCAAATGGTTTCTGGACGATCGGAATTAAAGGCTTGTGGTCGGTGTGTACCTGCACGTGGCGACCCAGGACATACTGACGAAACCGCGTCAGCGCAAACACTACCCCGAGCATCTTCCTCTCCATTTGAGAGTACCGTGACTCGACGTCTGTGAGTGTGCGGCTGGCACATGTAATCGGCAGCCATTGACCTGACTCGCTCTGCTGCCAAAATATCGCCCCAAGGCCGGTGGGTGAAGCGTCACAGCTGATGGCTGTTGCTACGTCCATAGATGGCTGGAAATAAGCGAGCGTCTGTAGGGAGGAGACCACTGCTTCTTTGGCGGCTGCGAATGCGCTCAACAGGCTCTCATCCACAGTGAACGGCTCACGCTTCATCAGCCGACGCAGAGGGTCTGTGGCACCGGTCAGACAAGGCACGAATTTTCTGAGGTAGGTGACCATACCCAGGAAGCGCTGAGCATCTGCCACTGTCTTTGGCGGTGCCATCTCGGAAATAGCGCTGAGCTTGCTGCTGTCGGCTTGAACTCCGTCTTTGGTTAGCATGTGTCCGAGGTACTTCACCTGATCCTTGCCGATGTTACACTTGTCCCAGTTCAGTTTGAGGTTCGCTGCCCTCAAACGCTCTAGAACACTCGCTAGACGAGCATCATGTTCCACTCGATTCTTGCCAAAGATCAAGATGTCGTCTATATAGACAGTAACACCGGGTAAACCAGCCAAGATGTCAGAAACAAAACGTTGAAAAATTTCAGGAGCGCAAGAGATGCCAAACGGCAACCTCTTAAATCGGTATAAGCCGCAATGCGAAGCAAAGGTTGTGAAGAATCGGGATTCTTCCCCTAATAGCAATTGATGAAAACCAGATTCCGCATCCAAGACTGAGAAGACCTGCGCGCCTGCTAGCTCTCCCGTGATCTCATCTACAGTAGGTAATCAGTGCCGCATCCTAATGATAGATTTGTTCAATTGCCGATAATCTACGCATAATCGGAGTGAACCATTCGACTTACGCACAGGGACGACAGGCGACACCCAGGGCGACGCCTCTTTCACTGGTTCAATAATGTCCGCATTCACTAATCGCGTCAGCTCCTTTTCGATGTCAGCCTTGGCGCTGAACGGTGGACGACGAGCTGGCTGCGCCACAGGCCGTGCTTTCTGGTCGACAGTGATGGACACGGGAGCAGTGTCCACCAGCCGTGCCGTGTCTGCCAGGTGGGCGTTCACCAGCAGCTCCAGTTGTGCGATAACATCCTGGCCAAACAGTACAGTTCGCCGGCCTGCCGGTACAACGAAACATTCGCATTGGATTGACCATTCCCCGACGGCAACATCGATATCCGCCATGCCAAGCGTCTTGACTTCGCCGCCATTGTACGTGCGCAGCTTACCATCACTGCAGCGAGTGGGCTGTACCACATCATCCGTCAGGAATGTCCGTGTTGCGCCGGTATCGAGAAGTCCCTCGCACAGCCTGCCATTCACCATGAGCGTCATAGTGAATTGACCACTGGCTGCCTTGTCGCTGCAAGCGTAAATCGAATCGTACACAATTCGCGCGGCTTCACTGTCCTCATCCTGTACCGCATGAGCTTTGCTGGAGAGGCAGACTGCTGCGAAATGACCTACTTTGCCACAGTCCCGACACCTTACATGTGCAGCCGAGCAAAATTGCTTGCCTTTGGCATGTACACGACCACAGTATTTGCATCCTAGGCTCTTGGTGGACGTCTTCCCCATGGCGCGCCGGTCGCCACTTCCGATTCCACCCGAGACGCTGCCCGAAACTACAGCAGCCAATTCTGGTCCTCTAGGCGCTGATGTCTCCAATCCTCCTGGACTCGTCCGACTTTCATATAGCTTGCAGTCGGAGAAAGATGCTTCTAGGGCCACAGCCTTTGAAACGGCATCCGCTAGCGTCAGCTTTGCCTCCTTTAGCAGTTCCCGTCGCAGCTCCTGCGATCGCAACCCTGCAATCAGTTGGTCACGCACCTGTGTGTTGACGACCGAGTCCACGTCTGTCGCTGCAAAGTCACACCACTCCACCTTCTCGCGTAACCGACTAACGAAGGTGGAGACAGATTCATCTGGCATCTGTTTAATCTGCCGAAACTTGTGCCTTTCAGACGTCGTGTTTCTGGATGGGCGAAAATGAGCACGGACTGCCTCTGTAAGAGCTTTGTATGTGTCTCCTGGGTCGTCGTGTGTTGCATCACTTGGAGCGGGAACAACCAGACCCTTGACAATCTTCCTGATCCCAAGACCAGCCAGATTCAAGAAGAGACACTTCTTGTCCTCTGGAGTCGAAACTTGACAGATCTTCATGTAGTCGTTCACATCCTCCAGCCATAGGTCGAAGTCGGCACTCGTGTCTTGTCCGAAGTCAGGATGAAATTCCTTGGGTGGCCGGCCCTTCGCCATAGCGTCCAGATGCTTGACTGCCGGTTCACTGCGCCAATGTAGTACCGTAGCCCACACTTGCCAGAGCAACTGCTTGGTTCCAGAAGATCTGTATTCTGATTCTGCATGATGCGACACTCGGCTTATAACACAATACGGAATGTGCCAAACTCTACACTATAGTATGATGGCGTTAATGCTATAGCCTATACTCTACAACCTAACACTGACCACTATGATAGCACTAATCCCAGCACTACATCTACTGAAGTACTACAACTTGGTGTCCTGTTGCTGGTGTAGTGAGCGAGGTCTGTCGGAGAGCACATAAGTTATGATGGGGAATTTGGACTAAATTACCTTAGTTTCAAACATTAAAATAATTGAAACAAGGAAAACAGGGGGTGGGGCACAAGTTATGCCGTGGAAAATCTCAGTACTCCTTGTCAGTCTGTGGTGCTACCTTGTGCACGTCTGACTGTTCAAAACCTGGTTTAGTTGGTGGACTCTATTAACGCATAACTTGTGCCCCCCCCCCGCCCGTTTTCCTTTTTTCAATTTAATATTTTCCTTGGCTCACCATCTGAGTACTTAGTTTCAAACCTCTTTTTCTTTTTTCTTTTTTTAAAACTGTAGTATGATTTTACACTCTCTTGTGCTCTTAAAGATATCGATGAATGTAGACTACCAGCACCGGTATGCCATAGCAAGGGTGCAACCTGTACGAATACCATTGGAAACTTTACCTGTGAATGTAACTTCGGCTACTCTGGTGATGGATTCATTTGTGAAGGTACGTAGGTGCAATGACCAGCATGATCAAGGATTAAGCAATTTACATGGAAAAAAATGATATACAATTTTTGCCGATTGAAGCATTGAGTACTTCAGACAGCCTATGGTTCGAAGGTGGTGCTCCACTCCGTACATTGACAAGGAATGAATTTCTGAAGTGTACTACAATCTATTTGCGTGTTTGCAGCGTATTGCATTGATGGTGGTACATTAACATGACTGTGTGGTCTGCTTGCTGACTATTCCCAGATTAAGTACAACTTGTATGATAGAGAAATGATGTTGTGCAGCATGGTGTAGTATTGAAGCTACCGTGCCAAATTCTTGGTTCGGGAACTGCATACTGAGTTACATGACGTTAGTTTCTTCTCACAGTTATTCCAATAGTCTTGTTCACAAAATTCAATGTTCTGTGACCATTGCCCTGACAGAGATTGACAACTGCTTACCAACGTCATGTGACAGCAGAGCAAACTGTAGCAGCAACATTGGTGGATTTACTTGCCAATGTCATCCAGGTTACTGTGGTAATGGACTACCGGGAAAGTGTGATAGTAAGTGATTCATATCTAGTCTAAATTACTTACTGTGGTTGTTTCTTCACCCTTCCTCAATGATTTCCTGGCTGCATTATGTTCGATCCGATAGGGTCACGATGGGCACTTTCGGTCACACATTTTGGATCCAGGTTTTATATAACTCTCGAATGAACAGAATGAACGGATTGTGGCAAATACACGAACGACTACATGCACACGTAAAAATCGTAAAAATAGGATCTCGTACACCCTGGCGCACATGTGGACCTAGCATGGCATGTATGTCAAGTGCGCCAATTTCTGGCGGGAAAATCAGCAATTTCGCCCTCTCTTCAGAATTGACGGAATCGACGGAATTGGATTCCGTCGATTCTAACGGCGGAATTTGTGTAATCGAGCGGTGCATCCATCATAACTCCTTCTGAAACTGACCGAAATGTGTGTAATCTAACGCGCCCAATAATAGACCCAAAAAAACGGTGAGTGACATTATCGAGTTGAAATGCTTCACCCTCAGAGGTTGCGTTTAGGTCTGAGTGCAGATAATTAACACAGTAGGTTTTGGTGAATGTCACAGCAGAACACAGATATGAAGAAGGACGTGTGCACAAGTTCATGCGCCGCTTTTGGAAGAAAGATAATTCCCCTGCAATCTGTTAGTAACAGACTTGGCACTTACGATTGGAGACAAGGAGAACACATTTGTGAAAAATTTAATTTCTGCATTTCAGGAATGTGATGAAAACTCTATAATTTTTAAATAACCAGTATTTCCTTTTTAAGCATGGTCGTGGCAGTTATTTGAGATATCAGGATGTCTGTCCTGAATGTTCCTGTCCACCAAGATGTAAATGAATGTGTGATGCTGACACCGTGCAGTCCTGCAGCTAACTGTTCAGACACTATTGGGTCCTATCAGTGTGTTTGTCAGAGTGGATTTACTGGTGATGGGCTACACTGTCAAGGTAAGACACTACTGAGACACTTGGGAGAACGGAGAAGTGTGTCCTAACCAGAGACAGGATCAGGGGTGTAGTAACTACGAATCTAGAGATGCTTGATGAGGCTATCTAAAATTTGGTGAATCTTATTAAATTAATTAAGTGACATTTCGCAGGCAAGAAACACTGTGATTGAATGTTTGGATGGTTTAGCAAAGATTGACGATTTCCTTCACTTTCGGAGCAGTGACTGTAAGAATGTTAGTTTAAAATTAACTAAGAGTTGGTGGACAAGCCGTTGATTATTCACTCTCATTGTAATATCAAAAAGTATTCTTTCTAGACCAAAGAGTGGTATATTTGATAACATTTAATAACGATAGAAATTTTTATCGTTATTAAATGTTATCAAATATACCACTCTTTGGTCTAGAAAGAATACTTTTTGATATTAAAATTAACTGTTGACTGTACATTTTCTGCAGATATCAATGAATGCTTGTTAGGAGTGCATACTTGCCGAACAATCGCCACCTGTGTGAATCAGCCGGGTTCTTTCCAATGCCAATGTCCTATTGGCTATCAAACATCTGGACAGCATAACTGTGCAGGTAATCGATTCATGCTCTTGTTTTCAATTACAATCACCTTCAAAAAAACTGGACTCCTTCCTTAGCCTTTTAGCAACAGTTTAGGGTAAGGTTTTAGGTCGGAGTTAGAACAGAGGCTGTGCAGCATGCTTGTGTATGATGGTGCTACCTTTATGTCCCGCTACTGGTAGGACCAGGGTCTATGCATCGTGTCCTGAACATGTACTAGACTGGGTACAGTAGCTAATACATTACCTGTGAAGGAACCTCTTGTTGCTGTTCTGGGCCAGCCGTGTATGTTGTCGGCCACAGAGCGCAACGGTGGTGGTGGTGTGAAGTCAATGCAGAATATTCAATGGCCAAATGCTGTTGCTTACCGTCTTGTTATTACCTGCATACTCTCAATTAGGAAACTTCACTTCTCATGGTAGTGAATGTTCATTACCATGATGATAGGCCAGGCCTGAAAATTTGGTGTAATGTAAATCTTAATTTTAATTTTAATCGCATTGAGGAGACCGTTCTTGGAGTTGGGAAGTGAAGTCTCCTAAAATGTGTAAGTGGCTGTGTTGGAGTTTGCAGACAATTAGAAAAATTCTCACAATTAGTATACAAAATGGCCTGCAACGGTCTTGTGCTCGCTGTCGACTTTCTTAACTTAGCATTGCATCGGTCTTCTCACGCCGGCCTTAGCCAATAAGAGACTATCTAGAAACTTGCAGGAACAAGCAAATGATAGTGGGCAGGATGTGGTCAGCATACACTGTTAGAGAATACAATGGCCATTGAATACTCACAAGGAGATGGTGTGTATTCCTCGCGCAATGATTCTTCACTCACTTTCCTGTGCATAAAACAAGACCCTAGTCCTCGTCATACCATAATAACTTCGCCTAAACATTGCGCAAGCGTGAAACTCTGAGTTTCAATAAAAATTCTGTTCCACCTTACTTGTAGTCCTAGAACATGTAGAAAAGCTGTAGATCTCTGAAAATGTGTGTTAACAGGATATGCCTTTCAGGAACCATTGTAGCCTAAGCATAGTTAGAGCAGAGACTAGATAATGTGCACACTGATGATGATTATAACCAGGGCTCTCTTCTGAACAGGAGTGGTTTCTGCACGGTGAAGCAGTGTGGTGGTAGGAGGTTATATTGCTTGTATGCAGAATACAACGGGGACAGTTGAAGGCAGTTAGAATGGGCTGTGGTAAGTGTTCTTTACCCATTTCATTGTGTCCGTTTATAGTAGGGCTGAAACGATCGTGGATTTTCACGTATCGATTACTCTTTAGCTTAACGATCGAGTAATCGATTATAATCGTTAGCAAATAGAGTCATAATTCCACAAACTATGCCTTCATAATACCAGCAAATCTGCATTAGTGAAAGGGTAGCTCCGAAACATGGCAGTTTTGAAGTCAATTTAACCTCAGAACATGAACCATACCCCTGGCAACTGCATACTTCCAGCGGAAACTGAATCAAACTTCTTAAAACGAGGGTTTACAGTACTTTCTGGACACAAATTTAAAAAACGCAAAATAATCGTAATCGGTAATCTAAAAAATTGCTCGATCATTAGAGTTATCAAACGAGTACTCGATTATTCGGTAGAATCGTTTCAGCCCTAGTATATAGCCACTGCCCAGTATCCAATGACCACCACTGTCTTGACCCTACTACAGAACTCAGCGGTCCAGTATGCACTGTATCCTCTGTATCCACTATATACACTGTATGCATTGTATCCACGTTATCTTGTGTGCAGATGAGAATGAGTGTATGGACAGCACAGTACACAAGTGCAGTGTGAATGCTATCTGTAACAACACTGCTGGCTCCTACTCATGTAACTGTAAATCTGGATTTCAAGGAGATGGTACCACATGCACAGGTATGACTGAGATTTTTCTCATTTCATTTTCTTCTGCATAGATTCATTTTTGAAAAAGCACCTGTTCCTGGCGATTATGCTTTCTATCCATGTACAGTAATGCAACATTGTTGGTGTTCTGACTTTTCTCTGCATGTGTTTGTACTGTTACAAGCGTTTTTTTAAACACCTTTTTGAGTATTACAGTAAAACCTGTAACTAAAGACCACCGTGACTAGCGACCAGCCTGGTACTACAGTAAAACCTGTAACTAAAGACCACCGTGACTAGCGACCAGCCTGGTACTACAGTAAAACCTGTAACTAAAGACCACCGTGACTAGCGACCAGCCTGGTACTACAGTAAAACCTGTAACTAAAGACCACCGTGACTAGCGACCAGCCTGGTACTACAGTAAAACCTGTAACTAAAGACCACCGTGCCTAGCGACCAGCCTGGTACTACAGTAAAACCTGTAACTAAAGACCACCGTGACTAGCGACCAGCCTGGTACTACCGACCACTTCGCCAGGCACGGACGGTCTCACATTCAAAATGCACTGTGACTAGCGACTACCTGCTGAACGCGACCAGCGACCGCCATTTCTTGTCCCAAAGATGATTTTTGACCCGTAGCTAGCGACCGCGCTGTAGGAAATCAAATGTTCCTCGAAGCTCCTTCTTGAAATCTTGCTGATTTTCCGTGGTCCTGAAAGGAATCTTTCGGTACTACAGCTGAAGAAATGAACGCAGGTCATTTTGACTGTGGAGTCGGTGTGGACTGCACTACTCCTGTCAGAATTTCAAGCGCTGTCTAGAATAAACATGATAGGAAACGTCTTGGAGAGCGCATCGAAAGCGCTCTCTGATTGATGTTACTACTCGGAGGAGAAACGAAGACTAAGCGGCTCTGTCACCCCAGTAATACACACGAATCGACGATGGCATCAAGGAATCCAGAAACAAAGCAGCACCGCAAGGTCCTGATGCTGAAGGATCGCGTTCAAGCAATTGAGAAGTCGCAACAAGGACAGTCGGTACGATTGATCGCATGAACAAATTTGAAGCCCAGCGCAAAAGGAAACTTCCACAGGGAACGTTTGACTCCTGGCTTCAGAATAGCAGCTGAATTTGATGTCCGCAAAATTTTTATAATCTTCTCTCTCTCCGTCTCTGTCTCTCTCCATCTCTCCGTCTTTCTCTCCAAGTGTTGTTTGACCCAAAAAAATAAGAATGGCATTGCGCAAGTCTTGGGGAATTGTATTAGCTGCATTTTGATACATTATCATATAATGGGATCCATTATGGTCGCGCGGTGCAAACCTCTAACTAAAGACCACCTGCTACTAAAGACCGCTTTTGCTGGCACCAAGGGGTGGTCTGTAGTCACTGGTTTTACTGTATTTGGTTTTTGTCTTAGATATCGATGAATGCAGACAACCAGTACCAACGTGCCATAGCAAGGGTGCAACCTGTACAAATACCATTGGGAACTTTACCTGCACTTGCAGCTTTGGGTACTCTGGTGACGGATTCATTTGTGAAGGTATGTTGTGAATTCGCAGGATCCCTTGCTTTTTCCACCAAATATGTATGCTGTGCTTGGTGATATTCTAGGCTGGTCATTCTTCTGCTCTCCGTTCTTCTGCTCTCCATTCTTCTGCTCTCCGTTCTTCTGCTCTCCGTTCTTCTGCTCTCCATTCTTCTGCTCTCCGTTCTTCTGCTCTCCGTTCTTCTGCTCTCCATTCTTCTGCTCTCCGTTCTTCTGCTCTCCATTCTTCTGCTCTCCATTCTTCTGCTCTCCATTCTTCTGCTCTCCATTCTTCTGCTCTCCATTCTTCTGCTCTCCATTCTTCTGCTCTCCATTCTTCTGCTCTCCATTCTTCTGCTCTCCGTTCTTTGATGCCCAACAGTACTGTATGTTTTCTTTTTCTTTTTAAAAAAGGAAAAGAAAAAAGAACTTCAATTGATCTGTAATTGTTGCCTGGACAGAGATTGACAACTGCTTACCAACGTCATGTGACAGCAGAGGAAACTGTAGCAGCAACATTGGTGGATTTACTTGCCAATGTAACCCAGGTTACTGTGGTAATGGACTACCAGGAATGTGTGATAGTAAGTGATTCACTCTGCAGTTTGTCTATTACGTCTATTACGTCTTCATTTGGTTTCTATTCAGTTCTTCTTTTAGTAGGACTTGATACTGTTGAGTTGAATAGAATATCACAAACTACACCATGCCATTCAGGTCATTACCGTCAGTTGTCTGCCTGAAGGGAAATTCTGTCCTTGAAGCCTGGCTGTTATAGCATGGGATTACGTACAGAAATGCACAACAAACTTCCCGTCCACACACAATCTCCTGCCCAGCTCCACAGAACCTTATGTATGTGTTTTACTTATGTCTTGTGTGTGTGGTTCGAAGTTCACCACTTTTCACAATTCATATCAGATCTGCCGTCACTTTAGACTGCTGCTGCTGCTTCCTGTCCACCAAGATGTGAATGAATGTGTGATGCTGACACCGTGCAGTCCTGCGGCTAACTGTACAGACACTATTGGATCATATCAGTGTGTTTGTCAGAGTGGATTTACTGGTGATGGGCTACACTGTCAAGGTAAGACACTGCAGACACTGGGGAGAAGAGGAAATCATCAGCCTGAAATGGGCCTGCATGTATTTCTAAGAACTGCACGTGTTTAGCTTCACTACAGTACGATCACTAGTGCAGTCTATTCTAACTTTGCAAAGTGTTTACAGAGCAGAGCTATGCCATAGATGAATACACTCAGCAGCTGAGCTCATCAATAACACCCTACCTACTGACGAAAATGTAATTCTCAACCAAACCTACACTTGTGCACCACAATTATTGGGTGCATGAATACTTTATTCTTGACTGTTACCACTGATCGATTGTGTTCCTCACAGACATCGATGAATGCTTGTTAGGAGTACATACGTGCCAAACAATCGCCACCTGTGTGAACCAGCCGGGTTCTTTCCAATGCCAATGTCCTATTGGCTATCAAACATCTGGACAGCAGAACTGTACAGGTACTGCTTCTCTTACACATTCTTTTTTAAATATGCATGTAAAACGTTGGCTACACTGATGATGAGCTCCTGGGTAAAGAGCTATTGTAAGCGCTCATTGGTGGGGGAACACACCATACAGGCGACGTAAATCTACTGCTACTTTCCAGTATCCATTATCCTACTTGTGCACTTTCCAGTTCCACTGTATCCACTCTGTGCACTGTATGCATTGTATCCACGTTATCTTGTGTGCAGATAAGAATGAGTGTATGGACAGCACAGTACACAAATGCAGTGTGAATGCTATCTGTAACAACACTGCTGGCTCCTACTCATGTAACTGTAAATCTGGATTTCAAGGAGATGGCATCACATGCACAGGTATGACTGTGGCTAGAATACCGATTTGCTATTAATTTTCAGGAATGGGATATGGTCTAGTTGGTTACAAGACGGCCTGGAGCGCGAAATCTACTGTCAGGTGCGCTGTGTACATGACATTGTGTTCTATATGCTTGGGAAAACCCCTGCTGGTCATTCCGATGAAGCATCCACTTGGCAACTTCTGACCAGTTTTGTCTTACCATTCTTCTCATCATTCTTTCTGTACATGTTAGCTCCCCTCCTCCCAGACCTCCAAGGCTAATGCCACAGATCTCCTTTTGCTCTTAAAGATATCAATGAATGTAACCAAGCAGCGCCGGTGTGCCATAGCCAGGGTGCAACCTGTACGAATACCATTGGAAACTTCACCTGCACATGTAACTTTGGATACTCTGGTGACGGATTCATTTGTGAAGGTATGTTATACTACCCTCTATCATTTACAATGTCTTCAATAAGCATAAGCCTGCTCCATTACCGGCATCTTGATTCATTGGAATATGTCATGACCCCCCCCCCCCCCCCACACACACACCCATGGCACAGGCATATCTATGCTATCTGTGGTTGTTCCACGAAAAAAGGAGTGTACAGTCTCTATCGGCTATAGCGTACCCCTTTTGATTTCCGTGATCTTATCACTATAAGGGGCCGGTCACATTGAGGGAACAATCCTCAGATTATAAACCGGGAATAATTTGTTCTGCTTTTCATCACGGCCACACTGCATACGCACAATGAAAAATATCTCACTCACGCGAGCAATTTTTTTGTCACCACTCGCTTCTGGTAGTCTGTCAGCCCCGCTCCTGGGCCAGAGCTGCATCAGCACAGCCAGAGTATCTTCAGAACGCAATAAAAAACAAGGAAACTCAAAGAAATCCAGTGGAAGCCGCGGATGATTATAAACTTTGGCGGAAAAGCGGGGCCTCGAGCTGATTTTCATCGAGTGGATTAAATCTCTCAAATCTCCCGCTCAGCGGCAACTATCCATGGTAACCACGATTTATTTTCAAATTTTCCCTCAGTGTGACCGGCCCGGCCCCTAACCGATGCATCACTATGCGATACGATCGACTTTTTTCGATCGACACATGAAAGGCAAAGAAATACTTCCAGCATGGCGTTTTGACAAATGAGCATGCTGCATAGTTGACAGTGCCCGCATTTCCATAAAAAAATCCTGTTATGTACATGTACATATATCACTATAAAAATATCCAACATGAAGAAAGTAAAAAATAGGGCCTTTGATATCATTGCTACATGCATTTTAAAGTTATCACTATAGCCGATAATAATATAGTGTGTTATGCATGTTTTTATTCTTTGTTGCCATCATAATATCCGATATATCATTACATCCGATAATATTGGTTATAGTGATATTTTTACTGGATAAAATACGTTTTTCTTTGATATTTCGTACCAACATCACTGTAGCCGATATATTCTTATATCCGGTCACTCTGTAGCCGATACAGACTGTACATAGAAAAGTATCCCGCACGGTGTTGCACTTTTTTAAGGGGAGACATCCAGCCGTGATTTTTTCCCTGAAAGCGTTGTTCTTTTTAACTTGTGACAATTGAATGTCGTGTATACTCTTTCATGTGTTCTAATGCAGAAGTAGAAAACTGCTCACCGGGTATGTGTGATTCCAGAGCCAACTGCACAAGCGTCATCGGTTCGGTTTATTGCCGTTGTCACGCAGGGCACACAGGCTCTGGATGGCCTGGCTCGTGTTTCAGTGAGTGAGACGAGACGTACATGTGTGCCAACGCAATTGCTGCGTATGTCATACCATCCAGTGTTCTGCTTGTATGGGTGGTCTTTGACAGTGTGCAGCTGGAAAGCACAGGGATACCGTGGAAATATACCAGGATTCTACAACCTGTGTTATGCTACCGACTGAGGTGCAACCAGTTCATGTGTCCAGTGTGAGCCCATTCGTGTAGTGATGATTCTCATGAACTATGGTGTGGCAATGATAACGATTAGGGAATTCGGTCTTTCTCTCAAACCAGGTAATTCAGACTATTTCTGCTTTGCCCTTGGCTTCCTGTCCACTAAGATGTGAATGAATGTGTGACGCTGACACCGTGCAGTCCTGCAGCTAACTGTACTGACACTATTGGATCATATCAGTGTGTTTGTCAGAGTGGATTTACTGGTGATGGGCTACACTGTCAAGGTAAGGAGAATTTCAAACATGTCTACCCTCACATCCTCTCATACAGTATGACTTGTGCATAGGTAAAGTCACACTTCAAACCCTTCATAGAATGGGCTTGCGGGGGGGGGGGGGGGGGGGGGCATTACCCGTCACCTACTTCAACATCCTTTCACCGTTAGGTTGGCCATGGGTTGGTCTAGCATAATTTCGTATTCCCATATCATGGTTTTCTGCAGATATCGATGAATGTTTTCTGGGAGTGCATACATGCCAAACAATCGCCACCTGTGCGAACCAGCCAGGCTCTTTCCAATGCCAATGTCCTATTGGCTATCAGGCATCTGGACAGCACAGATGTGAAGGTACTATGTACTATGTGAAGAATTCTGAAATATTCTGTGCACTCTTCTAATGATCCGTTTATTTGTGTGTGATTGTGGTATAGAAATCACATGTTTGCTATCAAGTAGTTATCTCACTAGTTGTTCAACAAATTATCAGACCGAAGTAGAACACGAGCCAGGAGGACACAGTCATTCCGAAAGACACTTCAAACCCGAACCGGATTTATACAAGTTTCCGGCAGTCAGCCATCATCTGAGACAAACGTTGAAACTGCAAGAAGCCTGAAAACTTCTCCATACTTATACATATATAGGGATAAGTGCACCGTTGAATGACATGCTTCCCGAGCTCGAATCCCTGAATAAACACTTTACATGTACGAGTACATGATCTTGTAAAGGATATGTATGTACAGTAAAACCTGTAATGGCGACCACTTTTCCTTGTCACGGACGCATTCACATTCAAAACACCTCGGAAAAGACGACCACTCGCTCAACGCGACCGGCGACCACCCACCCGCGACCGCTTTGTACAGTGCTAGTCATGTAAATGTATGCATTGCATGGTGCACCAGGCATGGTAGATTTACACATCAGTGCAGGAAGTGTGGTGCATGCACGACATTTGACAGGTCTGAGTACCCCAGGCACATGAGTCGTGCTAGGGTAGCATAGGTGTGTGCACTGTGATGCACTGATCAAAATGATGTATCACATGTGGATATGGTCACGTGACCCACTGAACCTGGATAAGAAGACCACCTGGCCACGGCGACCACTTTTTCTCGTCCCTTGAGGGGGCGCCTTAGACAGGTTTCACTGTACATGTGTGTGTGTGTGTGTGTGTGTGTGTGTGTGTGTGTGTGTGTGTGTGTGTGTGTGTGTGTGTGTGTGTGTGTTTGTTGGTGTATGCTTGCGTACATGTGGGTGGGAGCGCAGGTGTGCGTCGAAGGCTCCATGCTTTGCCTGCGTATCAGTCGTCCCTCTCTAATCCGGCACCTTTTGCTACGGCGTTTTCTGCTGGATTAACGAGGGTGCTGGATTAAGAAATCCTGCCCTCTGACCCGGCCCTACCCAATTGTATGCATGTATCATACGTCAAAACGCAGGGTTTTTCCGTGTCAACCCAAGTATTTGGTGCACGGCTTTAAATTCTCAACTGTTCTCCAGGAATATACACAGTGATAAAGTGATAAAGTAAAACAGAGAACATGTTCACATGTAGCACACACACGCACACACACACACCTGAAAATTGGCAGCACACTACTCCTTGCTGTCAGCGAATTGTGAAAATATAGCACTCAGGTCTGCAGCAGTGATTGTGGCACCGCAACTCGAGTCAACTGAACTGAACTCTGAAGTGGCCCCGCGCGCGCGGCACTGACCAGACTGGCCTAGCCTGGCCTGGCAAGGAGTGCACCTGTACGGTACGCGATTTACGACCGCCGGATTATGAAATCAAACTAAGTTGCAGTTTGAGCGATTTGTTTCAAAAAGTCACTGCCGGAGGCGGAATTCAAGTGCCGGATTAATTAAGATGTAGGAATCGAACGAAAAAAATCGGTTTCGTCAGAAAGTGCGCCGGTTGGCAAGGGTTCCGGATAAACAAGTGCCGGATTAGAGAGGGACGACTGTATTCTCTCTGGGATCCAAGATTTCAACAGTGAACATGACATGGCCAGCCAGTTGAAGTACGATTTACTTGTGGGATTGGGATGGCTCCTCTCAATAATTTCGTAATTTAGAGCTCGAATTGGTGTATTTTATAATAAAAAAATTATTGATTCACGGGCACCCCGGGCAAAGAGTTGTATGGTCAATAGTCAGCATAGCACCCCTGAGTCCGCTCCTGTTTACGCTGTTTCTTTTTGCCATTTTCTACTACCGTTACAGATATCAATGAGTGTGATGAGCGTATGTGCGATGCCGATGCAGACTGCACGAATACAGCCGGGTCGTACGCTTGCAAATGCTGGTCAGGGTTCACTGGGAACGGATCTTACGGCCACTGTGAATGTAAGGTGATCTACAGCCATTTTGATTGCAAGCCGGGGTTTGCGTTGCTTATATGGCAACGCAAGATCACGACCTGTTGCCCGAATATTCTAGGCTGCATGTGCACTTAGTTATAATTATAATATAAGGCTTTTGCAGTATTTCCGCCATAAATTGGCAACATAGTAGTAATTTATCTACTCTAAACCTTCATCCACAGGGTGCACTGCCCAGTAGACTGAGGTGCCCGTAATTTCGAGATCTGGATAAGAGAAATACGAGTGCATGTGCGTGTATGTGGCTGTGCGTGTATGTTACGTGGGTGTGTATGTGTGTGTGTGTGTGTGTTTGTGTGTGTGTGTGTTTGTGTGTGTGTGTGTGTGTGTGTGTGTGTGTGTTGCGTGGGTGTGTATGTCTGTGCATCCGTGGCTACGTGCCTTTTCTGTTGTGGTAGACTTGCCCGCCACAAGTTCAGCATCCGCAGACGACTCAATCACCGTCAGCATTCTGGTTGGAACAGCGTTTGCCAGCTTCGTGTTCGGTGCTGTGTTTTTCTGCCTCCTGTCGGCAATGATTCTGAGGTGGTCTAAGCAGGACAGGGTTACTCGTCCAGTACGCAAGCCCTTTATTGATCCAAACTTGGCTTTCGATGATGTGGAACTGACGCAAGCAGACATGCTTGCACATACTGGAAGTATTCTAGGTGCCAATGAGCCTGGTCATCTCAACAGTTTCCACAGAAGAACAGAAGAAGTTCTGTATTAGAAATTGGACATCCTGAACATGTCAATGCATATCTGATAATTGATGCACAGACCTTAGTTGTCAACAGGATCCACTTGTTTCAACGCGTATCTGGTAAATTATGTTATTGATGATGCACAGACCATCGTTGTCCACAGGATTCACTTGTCATTAATTGATGATTGTTGTTGAATTCTATATTCTCACGATGGCACCATCGCCAATAAGAGATGTTGTTGTTGTTGTTGTAGAAGTATACAGATTTCTTCCGACTATTTAAATTTCCAGAGTGGCATCTTGGAAGACAACATTATTTTTCTTTGCTTCTGAAGAAGCCGTTTCGTTCTCCAAAACCTTTTTTCAACGCTACACGTGTAGGATCAATTTTCTTTCTCTCGCGCCCTCAGACTACATTCGCATAACCTCTGTAGCATACATGTACATGTACATTGTACCCTATTGACGTTTTGCTTATGATTTCTCAGTCGATTCGGCTATGGCCCTATGGGCGCTTTGCAAGCAGCGTGAGTCAGCAGATTCCCTTATGGGCGCTGTGTAAGCAGCGTGAGTCGCTAGCGCTATAGCGCTAGTGCAAGTACAGTGCCACTGTTACTTACATAATTACGTAACGTTCTGTACGCGCTGAGGGCGCCGGCCCCGCGGCCCGGTCAATCGACCGGATTTCCATGTCCGCGACAGTACTATTAGTACTAGTACTAGTAGTACTATACTACTAGTACTAGATAAACCTTGCTTATAGTTCACACATGTTGTTGTATTGGTTTGACAGCATGAATTCATGAAACAAGGTAGAGGACACCGTGTTCGGAAACAGTGACCTTACTACAGCCATCCACGGTTGGTAGAGCCCTGGTCCGTTGGGACCATCTGAACCATATGGGTGTTGAACCCGGTTCTGACCCTCATGATGCTAGGGGAATTTTTAGACTTCTCCTATCGTCAGTTGTGTATTCTTTGATCGCTCCGAGATCCTAGCGTCAGTCCTAATGAGTAATGAGTAATGTTTGTGAGGAGGTCAAAGGACACGAGTCACACGACCTCAACCCACAAGTACTGAAGTAGAGAGCTCGAGCGGTCATGCTTCCAGCAATGATTCGTTCCTAAACGCACTTTGCAACATTTTGTAGATTTTCGGCGATTCTCAAAGGAACCCTCCAAAATCGGCGAAAAGCTTAGCGATATTTCGATAAGTCTCGTTTTCGGCCGGCCGATGTGGGGAAAGCCTACTAGTACCCGGTAGAGGGGACGGCTCGATACTGGGACGCTTTGACAGCCGAATTTGTATAGACCCAAACCGATCATCAGCGTTGATTTTTCACTCGAAATATGTTTGTGGAAGGAAACTGGCATGTTGAAGTTTGCTCTGGGGCCAGAGTCAATCGAACTGAGCCACTCCTTTGTGTTGACCCATTGCCTCCAAGTTGCCCAATTTTTCGCTTCAAAAAAGTTCAAATCAGAGGTGGCTCCAAACCGGACACGTTTTAGAGTGCACGTCCAATTCACTCTGGGTCTGAAATTAGGTAATTGCTATCGCTCCACGACGGCCAGTACAGAGTAACAATAAGCCTTGTGTGTGCTTCCATTAGTTTTGATTGGTATACGGTGCTTTATTGGCGAGAGGCGAGTCGCTGTTTACCTGCGACAAGAAGTTGATTTTTCAAAAGTCGTAAAACTCAAGTCGCAGTGCGAAGCAACACGTCAAAAACTCACCTGCTTGGTATGGCGCTTCTGGTCATCGCAGAGCCATGGAATTTTGGCGCTGAGTAAAACACATCGTAGTCTCACTGTAACATACGTTTTCTAATCAACATACCAAGAGAGAAAGTGAATATTGAGACCGTTCCGGTTTGCAACCTATGTCCTATTTGAAACCGTCGCCTCTACCCCTGGCTACTACTACTGACAGTACTGTAGATCTACACACTACACTGCACTGAGTCTGTCACCGACAGACTCCGGCATTAGCTCTACGAGTACGAGTAGATCTGCGACTCTACTACGACTACGAGTGACACACAGCAACACAGACTACTACAGTACTAGTACAGACTGTACAGTACTAGTAGTAGTAGTCATACCTCCAAGGCTCCATCCTTATCCTAAACCAGGGAGTCGCAAAACTGGAAAGGTAGATCTACACTACGGTACGGACAGCTAAGCCTAAGGCTAAACTCTCGACTCAGTCTTCGACTTTGTAACAAAGTTTGTAGTCTCTAGTATTATACGATTTACGATGGTCTATTAGGCCGAGTAAAAAAAATTACTAGATGATCGTCCTTTTTTTTGGAAAAATCGGGGAGGGCGGGAGGATTTTATTTTTATTTTTTTACTTTTTACCCTCTCATGCACACAGTGTACACAACAACATCAAGGTTTTTTTTCTCTTTTTTTCTTTTTTTTCTTTTTTTCTTTTTCTTTCTTCAGCAGATCGATACTGACGTTGTGATATACTAGTAGTATGTGGTCCATATAGTAAAGAAAGTATTAAACAAAGCGTGCACATGTTTCCTGCATCCGCGATCGGTAAAAAACCAACGATTTCGGCAAAAACTCACGATTTAAAAAATAAAATATTTCTTGGGGCGCTGACAAAAACTGGGGCGGACGGGGACGATCATCTAGCTTTTTTTTTTACTTGGCCTTATAGACCATCGTAAACGGTAAAGACTGCTGCTGTAGATCTTACAACTAACAAGAAGAGTACAAGAGTCGGAGTGTGTGACCATGGTGACAAAGCCTCAAAGGCCAACTGAGCGCCGAGGTTGTGATCTGTGACCCTTCACGACCTAGTACCTACTGACTGTCCTTGTCTTTACTCACCGGCGGGGAGTTGATTTTATTACGGATGTTGACAGCTACAAAAAGTACAATCATGTAGCTACAATGTAGCTAGCTAGCTCCGTGATCTGGGAACAGCATAAAGTCAATCTACACCTGTCGATCATCATGATCATGTAGATGGCCGAAACAGCTTGCTGTCTGCATGTATGATGTAGCATTGGGTAAAGACTAAGTCATTCTCCGGTTCATAGGAATTTTGTGTCTACATTTTAGTTACCGAAGAATTAGAAGGCGTTTGAGCTCGCTAGCTTGTTCCTGGCGCAAGCGCTGCTGAGTGTTGTTTTCAGCCTAGATAACACATACAAATGCCATCGGTATTGCGAGCCTTGGCAGAGGCAACCTTTGCGGACCCGATCGGAGAACTGCCGGCGTAGACGTGCGCCTCTTGGATAAGGAGAAGCCCACAATATAATTGTTAGCTCCTGATGAGAACGGGGGACGAATTCCGATAGGCAGCGATGTCTACTAGGCCTGGAAATTGGCTAGGCAATCTGCCGAAGCATAGCGTAATGGTAAGATTGACAGGACACATGTTGGTCTGTTCGTAATTTATCTAGCATTTAGCTGTGCACTCTCGATCTCTGCGCCGCACCAGCTTGCTTTTATGATCGGCTCCGTCTCTGATCCGATTGGTCGTAGATCTACGTGTGGGCTCAGGCTTCGGTTTGAACTGGAGCACGAGTGGAGAGCTCACCGGGCCACTCACTCCGATTTTGTGTAACACTTTAGGCCTGGTGTGGAATGTTTCATACCCACGGTGATTGACCGGCAAATATAAAGGCAAAGGATGAAACCATTCAAGAAATGCCGCACGTCCTAGATCCTGCATACACGCGGTACGGTTCGAGCGTGAGAGCCGCACTCACGTGTGCAGGATTTCTCGGTGTCTGACCGGATTGTTTCATTGGCGTTCTCTTGCTCTTGTAGGCTACGCGTATTTAGGGTAATTTACTCTGATTTGTTCGAGTGCATGACAGCACACATGGTGGGTTCGGCCTGGGGAGCAGAGCGGGAGTGGTAAAATGGGAAAGGCTTTTCGTGGGGGTAAATACATCGTTGGAAGAGCGCCGTGCTGTCAGTTGGCGCGTGGAATGAATTTGTTCGTGTGGATTTTCAGAAGGTAGTTGAGGAAAGACGCACTTCCGACTGCAGTGATTTTCTTTCTGACTGCACCCGGAACGTAGATCTATTTGACTGCCGTGGTACTGGTAGTGAGAATATGATGTTAGCTTCGTCACCGGTCACGGAGGACTGCTACGAGAATGGAGTTGCGATGCAGGTAGCACGCTCCAGATTTTACGTGTCCTCGGTGCGGAAGAGTCCCCGTCGTGCGCGCTCACAGACCCTGCCCACTCGTGCCAGGAGAGCTGTGACGAAACGCCTCAAACCAGAGAGACGGGAGACGCTGAAGCGATCACGAACGGCGTGCAATGATAACTTTCAAACCGCCAGGGATGAGCTTGTCAAGAAGGTACTCTCCATTGATGGTGTGTTAGGTCTTAGGAGAGACGTCACGGGGACCTTGGGCTTGTACTACATCATAATTATAATAATAATACATGTAGTGACTGATATGATGCTTGTGAATGTCAACAGTTACGGTGACAGTCCACCATGGTCCACTGACTGTGTGTCATAATCCTGGTAATAGTACTAATACTTTGGGGTCCTTTCAAAAGACGTACAGTCATGCATGGTGCATGACTGTACAGTAGTACTACTAGTATTCGAAAGCATTGTCCAATAAACGTCAGATTTCTTCTGAACAGATTTGAAAGCTGCAAAGAGTGCAAAAACCAAGTGAAATATCCCAAACACGTTCAATGCGGTAACATATACAAGCCCAGACAAAGGAAACCTTCTGGAAACAGTTGAGATTCACAGCACCAAGAATGGGTCTAACGTGTGATCAGCCGCTATTAACTCTGTCTGCCACTGACTCTGTCTGCCTAAAGACCAATAAACGCAGCCGCAGTAGTAGGTGGAAAAATTTGGTTGCTCGCATAATCAAGTAATTTGTGTTGATTATGATGGGTGGAGGTAACAAAGTCTGGGATTCAGAATACATTCCCTTCCATGTATATATGTAGAAAGGAAAATGGACATATGGAAACGAGTTTAGAGTAACTCTCCACCACTGTAACTAGATACAGTACTATATACAGTCAGAAAATGCAACAACTAGGCACAAAACTGACAGAGTACTGAGACATTCGACACATCTCCGTAGCGCTAACCGACAACCGACATGTCCTTTTTCCTTTCTACATTTATTATTGGCTCAATACCCGAGTTCCATGTACCGGGTATATAAAAGGAATAAATTGCTGCAAGGTGCCTTCTCAGATGACGACCCGATCATGTCTACTCAAAGGTTGCAGCTTAGAAACAACTTCTGGAATGAGCCAGATACAAGCTGGTATCTGTATCGGAAATCTCTTTATGTGTCTGTGTCGGCATGGGATGTGATACCGTTATCTCTCCCACCCATGGACAACTGAACGTGTCATTACACCTGCAGCTGTGTGTACTTTTAAAGTAGATGATGAAGTAACTCCATGGGACACATTGATAACCTGGAGAGTTTTCACTCAGCTTTTCAGTTGTCTCTTGCGTATGGGCATGTGTTGGTGATTGCCGTCCACTAAAAATGTCATGATGTCTTGTGGTAGACTTTCTTCTTGTTTGGGAGCTTACAATTCAGCCTGCTGGGATGTTGTCCACTGGCATTTAGGGAGTATAAAGGATTGAACATGTAGTACCTTGTGAGTAGTTTCTGGTTGGCATGGTAGAGATTGGAATTAGGACAGACCCTGGCCCTCAGCTGTGAACAGCATTGTGAAGACGTGGCCAAGTTGCTGAGGTTATCTGGAGTCAGCCAGGAGGAGTTAATGTGGCATCATGGTGAGCAGGAACATGTAAACTGTGTTTAAGATGTGCCGAGGTGTTGAACATACATGTAGTTTGGGCTGTCCGTAGTTAGTACTGTACAAGCAACCCCTTGAATACTAATCTCTCCAGCATAACAAAAATAGTTCCGAATAGCAACACCATCTTCTGACTTAGTAGCCACCTGACTACACCCTTCCATCCGGATCAGGAATAACAACAGTGCCTGAGTAACAACACTTTCCCTTACACCCCACCCTAGTGTAGGGTCGTTGTTGGCAAGGACGGTTGACTGTACTATTATTATGCGATATCTCTAGTGCTCCTGGTACCAGCAGCCACTGGGGCTGTGTGCTGTGGCCTGGCAAGGTGTGTCCCATGAGGAGCAGGCCTGCACTGGTGGAAATCAGTGCATTGATTCATGTAATCATACCCACAAACCCTCCGGGTGACATTGTAGTGGTGACCACCACCACCAGACTCCATCGGCTTTTCTCATCTAATAAGCATCATTGCAGTTGCCCCTCTCAACTAAAGCCTTTCTCTTGAGGAATAAACACTGTGTTACAAGGGTTATGTTATAAACTGGCCCTGGCCTTGGGTAGTAGTTGTGGTAGTTCAGTCCAGTATTGCTGAGCACTCAAGAGTCAAGTGTGGATGGTGGCTTTGCAGGTGTGGCCACTGAGATTGGATCACCACCAACTGTGCATAAACACTGCACGTATCCGCAGCTGGTCCTGGCAACACACTTAGACTTACCAAGTACACACAGTTACGCATACATGTTACACATGCCCATCAGTGAACAAGAGACATACTGGCAACCATTGTCACCTGATATTGTTCTCTCCTCGTAAAGGCAGTTCGGTTGCCACTAAACATGCATAATGGTAATTTGTCAGAAGTACTTAAATCCATAATCTAATCCTATGAACCCAACCCTTATTACTTGCTCTGGACTTGTTCTACATCCAAGTGTTGTATAAACTCTATATGGATGTGTGGATAATGGATTATGTACAGTCATGTACATATATCTGATTGTTTGATCCAACAGTGGCACTCCCGACACCTATGTTGTACTATTCATGATAGGGCTGTCCGAATATGGTAGAATTGCTGGTGACCATGATTGTGTGAGAGGTATTGATCATCTGAAGTGGACATTGTCATTTTGTTGAATTGACCCTTACAAGTGTGTAGTTGGGAGTACAATGTGGATGGGCTGCTGCTGAGCCAACCAACTACACACAGTACTTTGAAGTTGGTCCTGCTGGATAGCTTGATGTAGTCAGTGAACTGGTGACTAATATGAACGGATTAGAAGTTCAGTTAATGGGAACAGTAGCGTGATTGTGGGGCAGCAGGGGCATGTGCATGTGTGTAGTATAATTTGCATTGACTTAACCTTTGCCCTATTTTCTTCACATTACCCAGTACAGAAGGTATGGGTAAGCAGCGACTAGATACAAATAGTTATTTTTCCGGAAACAGGTTATGTTTACAAACTGTCCGAATATGAGTTGGGTTATACACATGGAATGTATTTGTAATTGTCCGGAATGGATTGATTGCACTTGCTCCCGGGGTACATGGAGATAATGGGAAAAGAACACTTCCAACTTTTCTTATTCTACTTTCAGGGAGTAGAAAACGTTTCAACCAACTAGCTCGAGCACAATAACAAGATAATACCAATAGTAATTGATGTGTATAGCAGGCGTGGTGTTATGTACATATCACCACAGCAGAGGCCGCACTGAAGACAAAGCGTTACCCATACAGAGAAGTACCGAAAACTGCCTGACTGTAACCCTGGGTTCCGTGCCTAAACCAACTATCAGACAGCACATTTGCTGCATGATCTTTTCACTGATTTATCATGCTACATGTATCTCTGTTCTGTTCTTGCTTTTTCAGGAGCAGTTTGACCAGGCCCTGGTTTGCCTGGAAGACCTGACCAAAATGTGCAAGGTAAATAGAACCAATCCTTCTAAACTGTGTCTATTGGTGGTGCCGGCGTTGCTATAAGATCAGAATGTGCTTTACCCATGGCAAGAAAATTAATGTTGTTTGGTCGACGAGAGTTGATGGACACGTTTTTGTACTATTGATCACCGAAGCACTGAGTATTGGTATGAACGAAGGCAATAGGTAATCATCGGAAGTCACACTGTAGTATAGAGAGAGAGAGAGAGAGAGAGAGAGAGAGAGAGAGAGAGAGAGAGAGAGAGAGAGAGAGAGAGAGAGAGAGAGAGAGAGAGAGAGAGAGAGAGAGAGAGAGAGAGAGAGAGAGAGAGAGAGAGAGAGAGAGAGAGAGAGAGAGAGAGAGAGAGATAACACGACATCATAGTACACAGAACAATGTGCGTTTCGGCCCCGATTTGGAAGGTTCTACGTGGTCCGTGGTCTATGCAGCTCACAATCAAGACCCCCGTCACCTGACCTGCTGACCCAAGCATTGCCCAGACAATCGATGCCGTATGTGAGCATGTAGAAATCGACCCTGCCCCAAGGGCGACTGTAACGGGGAGCCTGGGAGCGAAATCCACATTATTTACATATAGCATTAAAATTGAGTGTGCTGTCTCCCTGTACACAAAGACTCCCTGGTACGGCCATGTAGTGTGTTTGTCCAGAACAGGCCCTGTGCGATATGAGGTATAATTACTTGTTGTTGTTACCAACCTTGAAGGTCCATGCTGAATGATGATGCTGTGCCATATGTTTTGTGAGCAAAGGAATACAGGAGCTCACTCGTGCCTTTTTGTGTGCGTGGTGGTTGTACTCTGTGCTTGCTGGTCAGGGTCTGTACACGTATGCCAAGAAGCGATTTGCCATCGAGAAAGATTACGCCAAGAGTCTGCAGAAGTTGACCAGATCCACGCTAGATGCTACCCTAACACCGAAAGGAGTAGCGTTTCAGGGGTAAGGTCGTTGGTGGTAAAAACAAATATAGGTGTTTTCTTTTAACATTCCGAATATAGTGAGACCTGTCCGAGACGACCGCTCACTGGACCTTCAGAACATGGTCTCTGTTACCAGGTGGTCTCCTTATCCAGTGTCATTCGACTGGATATGGCAACCCTTGGTCTGTTTGCAGTGGTCTTTTCGGACAGGTGGTCACCTTATCCGAGTGGTCACCTTATCCGAGTGGTCGCCTTGACAGGTTTTACTCTACCAAGATGCTCCAAAATATGCCATATAAGGAATGAAGAAACTATCCAATGCCCTAGTTTTGCAATCTTGGAGAATTTGGAGATTAAAATGTAAAATCATTTTCTACACACGCACAAAGAGTGAATGGTCACTGGTGAGGCAAATTGATCACGAGTATTCAAGTTCCCTTGAGCAATACACAGAGGTGTATGCTGGTCAAGCTAGAGACCGCAAGGAGCGTGACTATTGCCAGCATCAGAATCCCCTTTACGCTGGGTGTTCAGCGGTTCTAGTCAGTTCTTTGATGAAGAGTATCCCAGTAGCTTTGCAAGGTCGTCGTGTATGACAGTGTAGAGTGCATTGTGCTGAAAGACACCAGTGGTTGGGTGTTTAAATGCTTTGAAGAAGATCAAATGTACGTTTGACTTGGCTGATGGTTTGGTTGTATTTGATCCTGTTCCACCAGTGGTCTGAATCCAGCCTGGCACACCATACTGCAGTCAACCCAGGAGTGTGCCGAGATGAAACTGTCGGCCACCGCCAATCTGGAACACAGTGTCTTGGCGTCTCTAAGTTCCGTCTTTGAAGGAGAGCTACAGAAGGGGAGAAAAGAGGTAGGGTAATTTTCCATTGCTTTCCAGGTTGTCGTGTCTAGCTACACATTAAGACAAATGAATCAACAACCCAGTGTGGGAGACACTGAAATCACAATAGAAGTGGTTGTTGGTTAGCATACCACGATACACTGTGATATACTTCGAAGTACCATGATGTACCATGCACTCCCTGTGCATTCCATCTCCCTTTCTTCCAGTTACATCCTCCTGTGTACTCTGATTTACTTTTCTCTTTTCGCTCAAACTTCTTGATATCAATGTTGTACATGTACCGTAAAGTACCGCCAGAGCGCTCCACCATCTCGTCCTGTCGTGGTCGTATTGTGGCGGTGATCTCCTGCCTGTAGGTCATACGACACGAAGCTTGTACACATATTGCACGTTGTGCAGTCGATCCGTACTCAATTTACCTTCAAACGGACACGAGCTCCACATAAAAACCTGCCAAGTGTGACCTTAGTATACTAAGGTTCTCACACTGTACAAACTTCGTTGCACTCTGCCATACGATTTTCCTTTCCCTGGCTGTAAAGTCAAAGTGGGGCGCTGTCGCGAGACGGGGTGCTCTGGCGAGACGGGGTGCTCTGGCAAGACGGGGCGCTGTCACGAGACGGGGTACTCTGGCGAGACGGGGTACTCTGGCGGTCCTTTACGGTACTAGTATTGTTGAGGTAACGAACTGAGAAACATAAAACCAGACAAATCTAATACGGTACTTTTTTATTGGCATTTGATCCACTGAATGAGAGCAATCTGACTGGCCACAGATAGCCTCCGTGTGCGGCCAGGAGATGGGTTTATTGAATCAGCGTTATGCTGTGGGCTCAATACAACCTGTAGATAATGGGGTTCCTATTCTGTTTGGTTTGGATGGTATTGATCTGGTGTAGCTGTCATCCCAAGGCCACCAAAGTGCAAAGAACCTTCAAGACGTCGTCCAACTGCTTCATAAGGCACAGACGGCATATGTGAGGTAAGCCGGTGTGGAGTGCAAACTGTGTGCGCTGAACAGAACACCAGCTGCTTGTCTGAGGGTCTTTGCCTGGAGTAGTATCCCTGTAATCAGGTCAGCATGACATAGCATGCACTGCACTGGATTGGATGCCATACTTCCACGATTATAACCCCATCTTCAGGTCTGATCCGTATTTGATAGCTGAGGACGGTACCGATCCATATTGTTTCAATAAATCCACATAGGTGGGAAGTCCTGCCCGATTCCCAAGTCGCACATCATCTGTTTTGCCCTTGAAGAGAGTCACCACTCGGCCATGCAACTCTGGGCAGGAACCGAAATGGAACATGTTGGATGCTTGTGTGACTGCTCAATGTTCATGATCCGAGCTGCCATGCCGTTGTTCCTTTGCCTGACAGATTGCTTGTTCGGGAGAGCTGGGGTTGGCTACGGCATGAACTGCCTGCTCCTTTGGTTGCGATGTGTTGCAGTTGTGCTTTGAACTAGTGTGTCATACTATCTGTGTGTTGCCCTGTGCACAGTGGTGCCCAAGACTGGCAGTCGTGTCTGCTTCAGCTTCACCGAGAGCTTGGCGGAGAATGGCGTACGTTGGAGAACACCAAGCAGCGCGATAAGGAAGCCGGACTGAGCCGAAAGTGTGAAGAAGTAAGTGATTGTGATAACTGAGAAAGACGTAATTATTTTCTATGGTGATGTGTATGCTCTCGAGCTCCCTTCCTGGTCTTGTGCACCGAGGTGGCTTTCTACCTGCATGGAAACGTGAAACTATACAACCATTTATAGAAAATAAGAAGGACCAAGGAACTACAAGTCTATAAATGTATCCTTGCCTCTCCATCCGAGTCCATCCTATACAACCATATTGATCATATTGGGCCTATTGGTCAAGTGCCTGTTAATCAGTTTCTGCAGTGTTCGTAGAACGACCGGCTTACCAGAACAGTGTTTTTATAGCCTACAGCTCAGTATTGTGTGGTGAACGGCATCATAGGACAATACACACACCGGTACGCTGTTTACTAGTATCACGGCGTTATGCGAGAGAGCGTTTGTGTGAGGCCTGGTTGACAGTGATTAGTCTGTGTGCTGTGCATTCCACCACCCAGGCCAAGCAGAGCTACTTAGCGGCCATTCGACAAGCCAATAACACGCAGCACCTGCACCACTTTGATCAAATGCCACCACTGCTAACACAGCTGAGCGAGCTGAGCGAGGACATAGTGCTGGTGGCACGCCAATCACTAGTACATCTACTAGAGCAAGCCGAGCTATTGCAGAGATCTGTTGCCAAGCAGGTAAGCAGGGTGAATGGCGGGGGGGGGGGGGGGGGCAAGTTGAATGTCTGGTCTAGCATATCAATTTTCATGTTCTCTCTCACACCTCACATTTGCAACAGCAAAACCACAGTGCAGGGTCGGCTGCGGACAGCCACAGTGCAGGGTCGGCTGCGGACAGCCACATTGCAAGACACAAAGAAGATAGCTACTAGTACAATGCATGTATACAAGATCTGTTTGTACAGTGAACATGGTGCATACATCTTCCGTACTGACCCACCTTGCTTTGGGTATTTCTCTGCCTTACGGCATGAGGATTCCCAAATTACTATTATGTCGTGAACCCCGGGCATGCACATGAGCATTCAGCACAAGCGCGGCTGTGGACTCAGCATACTGCTGTTACGCTTCAACGTGGAAATGCTTATAATCAGGAGCATGTGACGTGTTTCTTGAACGGGCATGAGTACCTATGTGTCCTATTTCCCTGGCAAGAGCGTGTTTTCCTCTTTTTCTCCTACAACCTTTCTTCAGATGCCGCGTGTTCCGGTGGCACCAGCGCTGCAAGCGGTGCGTGGACTCGACCCGAAGAGCTACACTGACGACTTCATCTTCTGTCACATGACCACGGAAATGGTGGAGGTAATTATGGTCTGGTTACCAGTGTTAAATTATGAATGAGTGATGATTTGGGAACGTGTGACGACGATAGACTGGATTTGATGCACGAGACATACCACTGATAGGATGTTTATAGCAAAGAGATTAGGCTGTGCGAGGTGTACTCTCTTGAGAACTAGATATATCAGCACTATCTACTTGCCACTGGCCTTACCTTTATCAGCTTTTCACCTTCTGTTTGCGTTGCTTGTCTCTGCAGCCGCCCCGACCGTTCGTCTTCGAGGAGTTTCTGATGGAGGACGATGCTGCTCATCTGTTCTTTCAAAAGTCCCGCCATGAGTGTATACAAGCGTTTCCCAGCACGGCAACGTTGGAGAGTAACGTGATACGACAGATCGACAACGATGGCTTCTTTGTCAGTTCCGAAAGTCTCTCACAGGTAAGGGGAGTGTTGCGTTATTTAATGCCCCCCCCCCCCCCCCTCCCCTGAATGCATCTCTGCAGACATCCGTTGTCTGTCTCGGTTGTTTGAATTCCTTGTACTGTGCAGGAAGTGTGTCAGGTATGATGTTTATTCTCTGGGTTTTGTCTGCGTGTATGGATACAGGTGGCTGAAAGCGACCGGGATGAGATGCGACGGAGAATGACCACATCGACGGACACAGTGCCAGTACCAAACAGTCGCAGCAGTGTTACATACATGCTAGCACTGCGTAAGGCTGTCATGCAGACGAAGGGAACTCCCGAGCCACAGCACACGCCGACTATGGAGGAGTCGGGCGGCTTTCCAACATGGTTTCCGCGCCGACGAACTCCGTCGACAGGGAACCTGCTGGCGGGAGCATCGAAGCATATCAAGCGTCGGAAAGACCGCAGCGAAACACCCGAGCGACAGGAGGTTGTGCGGGAAGTCGGTCGATCCAGCTGGTTTGTACCCGAGGATGACAAGATGAATGGCGATGAGGTAGAAGCATTTGACGAGCTAGAGTCCAGTCAGAGAGCAGCACGTATGGCCAAAAGATCAGCATCCGAGGGCGACCTGATGCACTCGTGCGAGTCAACTACTGGCGGCGAGATCAACCCGTACGCCAGCGTTGATAATTTCACCGTCAGCCGGAGGTTGAAGCCGAAGCCAATGGTGCCGCCACGGCCAACAGTGATCAAGAAGAGAGCGGCCACGGCAAGTCCTAAGCGCGAGGCGCCGCCGTCCTCTCCTCCGCCTCCACCTCCGCCTGCACAGGCAAAGTCGGCAGCGCAGAGTATGAGCACCTGGCGAAGTCTGGATGTGGTGAGCGAGTCCGACGACCTAGGCTTTGGTGACAAGTTCCCGCCACCGCCACTACCCGGTGAGGAAGGTGACGTGTACACAGTGCCCACGTGTTTAATGCCCGTCGGATCACCGGGCAGTGCTTCGTTCATGCCGAGCGACTCCTCAACGGCCCCCACCGCTTACCTGGCCCCGCTGCCGTACCTGATCCAGGTGTGTGTACAGTATCTGCATGGTGAGCGGGCATTGAAGGAGGAGGGCTTGTTCCGCGTGTCCGGCGACATAACGCGCATCCGGCAGCTGAAGGCGGCGTTTGACGCACTGGAGAACAACACCAACACTTGGAGCAGCGGTCGCTCGTTGGCTACGTTCCTGGAGGAGGAGATCAACAAGGAGCGTGACCCCAACACGGTGGCAGGCCTGCTGAAGATGTACATGCGCGAGCAGAACTACATTGACGGCAAGCAGTGCAGATCGCTGGTGGATGCAATGTACCCGAACAGAACACTGGCTACCTTGTCTAACAGCACTGGCGAGGTGAAGGTGTTAGAGCTGGCCATGAGAGAGAAGGTATGTTCAATGCTTAATTTTAAAAATGCTTGTGATATTCTCACTCCACTATTTGAATATCTGAAAGGAGCAATCCGTTTAGCATGGTGTTGGGCTATGCACAGCGTTCACACGTTGCATGCAATGCAGTTAGCATGAGGCTGGGTTATGCACAGCGTTCATACATTGCATACAGCAGGTATGCACTAAAGACTTTGACAAAAGTGTTCACAGCACTCGTCAATGGTGGCACCATGTTTACAAATGTATACTAGCAAATACGTTTGTTGATAGTGTATCTTCTTGCCTGGTCAGTAAGTGAGTATAGGTGAACACATACTTAACTCCTTTTCTTCTTTCGCCCTGTACTATGGATATAATACATCCATTGTACAGGGATGGGGATGATATTGGCCATGTCAGTATATTTATACTGACATGGGGATGATAATGGCCATGTCAGTACCATATACTGACATGGCCAATATCATCCCCATGTTGCCTGATGGTTGTAGTGAGCTGCATGAAAGTCAGAGTTACAACAAACTAGCTTTGCTCTACTGTTGTACTGTGTAGTAAATGTTATGTTTCTACCCAAGGGCAAAACATGAGCACACTAGCTGGGTACATCCTCCTGTGAACTGTGCTAATTGTGTTTTGTTTTGGCACTGGAAATGAACTGATGAACGTGATTATTGTTATTTTATGCTTTTGTTAATCTAGTTGCCGGCTGTTGAGGAAAGTGACCCCATAAGGATTGCGTCCATCAGAACTATCGTGCGCGAGGAGATGTCTCCCGTTGCCCAGAGTATTCTGAGTGCGATGTGCAGGCTGCTTGCTAAGGTAAATGTGAAACCTAGACTCTGAGTCATACTAATGTCACGCTACATCCCCTATAAGGTGGGCCTGATGCACGGTGTATGGTCTACTGCAAGTCAACAAATAAGCGGCGCATACCTACTTATTTTCGGCTATTTTCGGCCTGGTCGTGTTTGGCCGAAAGTTTGTTGCGGCCGAAATTTTGTTTTGCAAGGTTCAGTGTGACATTGTATACAGGCGGCAGCAGTACAAGCCGTAATTTTGATGCGGCCGAATTGGGCTGGGAGGCCGAAAATTGAATGGGCCAAACATTTGTAGACTTCCAATAATGGTGTGAGGGAGAGTGGGTTGAGAGTGTTCCTTTCTGTGTGTCACTTTCTCTGGGAAGTTTAGCACCATGATACAACATTTGTATCACTTTAGGAGAGTTTGCAAGTCCACGGCGCATGCTCTTTAGTAGTCACCATTGTCTGGTAAAATGGTGCTGAACCCTGAATGATATTGCCTCCTAGGCAAGGATTAGTTACACCACCCCTCTACTTGCATAAGTTATATCACCGTGGGCACCCCACCTGCAGGCTCTACTTGCATAAGTTATAGCACCACCACCAGCACCTCTACAACATTCATTCTCTGCCTGCAGGTGGCCAAGCAGGGTGAGCAGAATCGGATGACCGGCCACTCACTGGGCATGTGCTGTGGCCTGAGTGTGTTCCCGGCGATGAGCACTGGCCATGCCTCGTCCGTCTTGAGGTTCATGCTCAACAACTGGAAGGAGATCTTCACCAACTAGAACAGCTGGCCCTGACCTGTTGGGCAGCAAAGCATGCCGGGCTTGCAGCCAGAGCCATACTGAGTGTGCTGCCTGCCATCAATCACTACTGTGTTCAAATAATTATTTCATTGCATATCTTATCATATGAACTGAGAGTATAATGTTGAGATTTGGACTTTACTATGACCCTAGGCAGATAGCGGTGGGCTACTTTCCACATGTTGAGCTTTATAGTTGAAAATCTGCTAACGAGAATAACTAAGCTACTTCAGCACATTCCACTTTATATCGAAAACAAAACAGTATGCTGTCAGATGTTTTGACACTTTTGAAGTATAAGTAGACCCAGACACAGATGTACTGCATCTCTAAGTCATTGGACTCTGGACTTTTCCTGTGGACCGCAGAATGAAAGTCTCCTTGATGGGCGCCCTAACCCCGTGCCGCATAGCTTTTCTAGATTAACTTTTTGACATTCTCTCCGATCAGACTGAAACACTATATTCATTCCGCTTCACGCCTTCTGTAAGCTGGGCAATGACAGCTTGCCTGAATGCTCCGGATAGTATATCCAGAGCAAGAAGGTCCTCAATTTTCTCGAATTTCTTCTAATAATCACGATTGATGACCAGGGAACCTTGACCCCTGCTCACCTGATTTCTGACTATTAATAATTATTGTTATGTTGGCTGTATTTGATGGCTATATTATACTTTGAAGTAGGTATTACCGGTATGTGTAGCGAATGAGCAGGCATTGTTGGATACGAGATGAAACTGTGCGCGAGTCTGCGTGTTCGGTGTTTTTTTGTGTGGTATTGTGCTTGGAACCTGGCATGTAACAGCTCTGTCGGCCCCACTGCATCTTGTGTGAACCTGCAAGGCAGTTTAAAGCCCGCAGATGCAGGCCATGCAACAGTGGAGCAACCTCCTATATTCCGTCAATGAAGCTAGTGTAGTACTACCGGTACATGTGCCGATAATAGAACGTATCATGGCATTACACTATAGCAGCTACACACTGGCAGAGTCAGGGCAGTATCAATCACAGATTGCTTTTGCTGCTGGGGTTCATTATACTTTATAGATACTGTTTGCTGTGCGTTGAAATAATATTGGGTTTGCATTTGGAGAGAGGTTTGGAGAAGGTAATGAGAAAAAGGTATTAGAGCTACGAAAACACGTATGAAAGCTGCAGACATAACCACGCAACATGACAACTTGTCAGAGGTTTTAGGTGTGTTTTGTTTCCAGAATTAATTTTCTAGTTCCATTCACTGATCAGTGGAAACTGTAAAGTACTTATGTAATGGGTAGCCGAGTGGTAGGCGCGGTGAAATCAACAAGAATTAGTTTTATTCTACTTCTTTCAGGTACACACCTGAGATATAATTATTAGTGAAAGAAGAAGCGGCAAAATAAATAACTTTCTCTCCGGTGCTCACCTAGAGGTTGATTTCTTCTTCTTCGATTTAGCTTTCGTTGCTATCTAATCTAATCTCATCAAAACAGAAATGCGCAGCCGCTTTTATGCAGCAGACGCCGTACGCTTACTTACGGAGATACACTAAATATACAACAGGCAAAGCTCCGTATTAGTTCCGTACTGCTTCCGTATTTTTCGCGTTTTTTTGCGATTTTTTGAAAGACCGCGTTTTCCGCGATTTTCCCGCGTTTTTTGAACTTTTTTGTTGCACTACACGTACACACAGTGCACTGTTCGGTCAGCAACGTCTCGTCGTGGCGGCTTTTTACTCAAATATGACGAGTGATTACCATTGATTACACCAGAGACTTGTAACTGATTGATTTCACTACATACTCACTGAAAATTGCCGCATTCACCGCATATTTACCGCAAATTCACCGCAAATTATGCCATATTATGCCGCGTTTTTCCCCGCGTTTTTTGCGATTTTTTTCCGCAATTTTCCCCGGGGACAGGTTGACGAAAATCTGCATCCCACCACGGAGACGAAGTACCAAGTGAATAGTGGACCCCTGCTGAACGTTGTAGTCACTCAGGGTTCGGCCGTCTGCCAAATGCGTGCCGACGAAAATCAAACGCTGCTGGTCTTGGGGAATACCCTTCTTGTCTTGGTCAGCAGCCTGCATGTCGTCGTTCTCATCAGCTTCGCCACCACCACCGGTAGTATACATGTAGGTAGCGGGTCGCTTGGAATCGCCATTGGAGTCTCCAGTGGATGCCATGCGTAGAGAAGGGTGATCCACGCTAGCACCCTGGCTGTGCTGCAAGCCAATAAGCAGGGCCAAGCCCAGGAAGGCAAGAAACATGATTCTCATCTTGATTCGTCGCAGGGAGCTGCAGCGGGTTGAGCCATGGGGGTCTGGGGTCGAATCACGTTGTTTTATTTAAAACTACTTGAAGTACACCGCTGCCACCAATGTAATGGGTAGCCGAGTGGCGAGTGGTAGGCGCGGTGAAATCAACAAGAATTAGTTTTATTCTACTTCTTTCAGGTACACACCTGAGATATAATAATTATTAGTGAAAGAAGAAGCGGCAAAATAAATAACTTTCTCTCCGGTGCTCACCTAGAGGTTGATTTCTTCTTCTTCGAGTTAGCTTTCGTTGCTATCTAATCTAATCTCGTCAAAACAGAAATGCGCAGCCGCTTTTATGCAGCAGACGCCGTACGCTTACATACGGAGATACACTAAATATACAACAGGCAAAGCTCCGTATTAGTTCCGTACTGCTTCCGTATTGGTCGGGCAGGGATGCTACACTTATAGGGAACTGGAGCCACAATGCACTTAAAAAAAATTCAATCAAAGGGAGTGATAGAAATGCTGCAAAAGTAGTGATACCAGTGAGATGGAGTCTTCAGAATACCGTGATCAATCTGACTTCAGTGTCCAGCTCATGATCAGGGACTAGGCGTGAAAGTACATAGAACTGTAGCTAACAACTAAAATGCTTTTATGATCCAATATTGCCTCCAGCGGACAAGGACATCAGGGAAAGGTAGGCTGAAAGGAATAGTAGTGTACAATGAACCATATAAAGATTAGGTAGTTGAATTGTAGGCTTCGAGGCTGAATCGCCTGGTATTTTAGCTCCAGAAGCTCGACCAGTGTGTGTGCGTGCGCGTGTGTGTGTGTGTGTGAGACCAAAAAATGGGGATTCACTGGCCAGAAAAAGCCACTTCATAGCTGTGTGGTGTAGACCAGGCTGAATAGTGGTGGTCAATTCTTCAGTCTTTTTTTTTTCTTTACAAAAAACCACACACCATTTGATGGCACAAAGCAGCAAGGCAGCGATGAGACATATGGAATGGCAGGAGTGGGGGAGAGGTAGGGGCAGCTTGACCGACCATAGGGTCTCGGCTTCATTGCAACCCAAGCGCTCCACAAAAACAAAAGATTACAGGAAATACGCAGGGGGGGGGGGGGGTAGATAACTGGGGATTACGGGGAAAAGTATGCACAATAAAAAGTTATCAGAGAGTCAACGAAGTGAATGGAGGAGGGAACAGAGTTAGAGCTTTTTTCGTCTTTTTTCTTTGATTCATAGCCTGTCCGTTGCCCACTCCCAGCGGGTAAGGCACATGTGGGCGTTGACCTTTTCTTTGAACGTCTGCAGTCCTTTCCTTGTTGGCTGGTTCAGCAGAACGCACTGCGGGAGCTGGTTCCAGACCTCCACAACAGCGTCAGGGAAGGACCGAAGGACATCATTCCGTGCTCTGGGCGGAAGAGTGGAAGTGAGCTGAAACTGGTGCGAGGGATGCTTTTGTGTGCGTCGGCTATGGCGTGATGTGTTGGTCGCTCGGGGTGGAAGAAGGGTGAGAAGCATGTCTGGGCCAGTTGAAAAGTGGAGCTTGTACAGAAAGCAGAGTGCTCCGCTTGCAACCTGTTGAATGGTGCAATCCCAGCACAAGCTGCTATGGCTTCTGCTATAGCATCGCTATCATCGCCTCCGGCGATGGGCGTCAAAAGGTCCAAAAGGTGTGTGTGTGTGTGTTGGTGTTGGTGGTGTATGTGTGTTGCGTGTGCGTGTGCGTGCGTATGTGTGTGTGTGTGTGTGTACACATGCGTATGCTTGTCACTGCTAGTATGTGTGTCTTTGATATTGGTAATGGCAGTGGTGCTTACTTTGACAATGATTTGCAGCATGGATTATTATTTATTATTATATGCATTCCCGCGTTGAAGTGTAGCAGCAGTATGCTGCGTCCACAGCTTCGCTTATGCAGAATGGCTTAGGTGAGAGGAGAGGGGAGAGAAAGCAACAAGGCAACCAACATCTATGAAATAGGTCACGATAACATGAAGAGAACCAACCTACATATGCATGATTGCACAAGAATGGAGACGACAAAATTTAATGGCTACAATCATTGTGCCACAAAACCGGTACACAGGAGATCTGTCGACAATGTAACGAACATAAAACTCAGTTACTCAATACAGGTTCCACAAAATTACAAGAGAACAACGCTACAACATTAGAATTGCCGCTAAATTATCGCAAGTGTAGAGAACCAGTCCAATACAAATGAAAACCATGAACAGACTGTCCAGAAGTTTTTTTGGGAACAAATTGTACTACATGTACTTGCTGACACTGACGCTGACGGAACACGAATTTGAGCTGAATACGCACGAAGTCTTGTACATGCATGCAGCATCGATACTAAAGCTAAAGTCCAGTAAAGGCAAGCAGAGGTAAATGTTTGTTACCATGGTTACACAGCTGATTCAGCTGATTCAGCATAGCCATAGGTGCAGCTGGGCCGCCTGTGGGCAAGTGAACTCTCATTTTCTATATGTGGCACTTGCACGTCGTTTTCCTTGTCTCCATGGCAATCGGTTTGTCCAGGAGGACTAGCATTACTGACAGTCTGTGAATTTGACACTGTCGGCCTATCCACGTGTGCGTGTCCGGATTGCTGCGACTCAGCGGATTGTGCCCCCAGCTCCAGGTCTGTACCACGCTCATCACTGTGACTGTCAACACGGGATACTTCTGGGTTATCTGTTGTGGTGGGTTGACCTTGTTGATCCCTTTCATGCTTCTCCAATTGTAAGAGAAGTACAATGATGCGTTTGGCTTCCGTGAGTAAATAGTCATCTCTGATATCAGTTGATCCGCCATATATTCTCTGCAGTGTGGAGACTAATGGCTTGAGTAAGACAAGTATGGGTAGAATGAATCCAGTCCATGTTTTGATGCTAGGATCGCTGTTGATGAGGACGATGAAGGTCATCTGGATCGACAGAAATGTCACAACAACCACCCAGCACAGAGCAAATGCTCTCAAAATGAATGTCTTGATTCGGCTTCTGATCAGCCCTTCCAACTTTTCGTGTATGTCTTTATAAAGCTGTGTGTTGATTGTAGCGGCATCTTGCTCTACAACACCGTGCACTGCACAGAGAAGAAGAACTGTCTTGATTCGCAATCTGGCCATTCGAACAGTCAGGGGTTGAAGAGCTGCATTTTCCAGACTGTCTGAAGGACAACTTGTTACTGGGTCAGAGTTTTGAGATGGACAATCATTTCTTTCTTCCAGTTTGCGGACTCTCCTCGGCTGTTGCGCAACACTTTGCTTTCTACATGGATGTGGCACAAAATGGCGAAAGTCACCGATGTCTCCTCGCTGGCCATTGGTTTCTGTTGTCGTGGAAGATGTACGTACAGCTGCTGCACAGTCCATTACAACTTCTTCCTGTAGCAATTGGCTTGCCTTGTCAGCGGCATGCTGGCATGCCACTATATCAGGTGAGAGAGTCTTGTTCACTTTAGTGATGTAGAGCACGTCCATAACAATCACTTTGATGGCCGCCAAGATGGCTAGCAAGATGAACGGGTAGTAAGTAACCATACCAGCGAGAAAAAACAGAGTACCGAGCATTAGAGTTAGAAATATTGGAGCAGAGAAGATAATCATACCAATTCTGTAGACAGATTCCAGTAAAATTTCAACTATTACCAATTCATTCTCTGTGCAGGATTCTTTCTTCTTCGCCACCCATGATTCGGCGTAAAAATGCAGGCAAAACCACACACATACTGCTACCAGAGACAAACTTAAAAAGACACTATTACCAATATCTGGTTCTACTTCAAAACACCCAAAAAGAGGTTGTAATGCAGCGTATGGTTGGCCAAGATTTGCGTCACCTCCTCCTGCTACACTGGAAATCACAATAACCAGCACTGTTATAGCTGTCGGCATGATCACTGCCAAAAGATTGTTGGAGAACAACCAGCCCATAACGTATATCAACTTGCTGCTTCTCCAAGAGCTGCTCTGACAAATGTATGATATCGACAGAATCTGCAGGCAATTTGTGTCGAATACTGGTACGGGCATGTACATGTTATCAGGGAAGTTGTCCGCTTCACATTCTTCCTTAACCTTTCGGAGAAATTTCCGTGGTGAACGACTTCTAGCCCAGACAAAAATGATCTTCAAGAAGTATGCAATCGCAACCAATGTCAAGAGGCCTGTTGTATTATTATGTACGCTATCCTATATGCAACCACCGGCGTGCATCTGTCTTATTGTACGCAGTTTACGTTAGCTTACGTCATGCATTGGTATTTGGCATGCACGCATGACTACACATTGAGCATGCTGATTCCGTTGTGCTGTTCTTTGTTTTGTTGTTCTTTTCCACTCGCTCCTCGATGGAGACTACTACAAAGTATTTATTAGAATAAACCAATACGTTTATCACATGGCGCAGTGAACTATTTTCTTACCTGTCGTAGTAGTATTGTAGGCGGTAGGTCAGATCACCCGTTGTGACCTGACAATCCCGGCCCGTCGTTTCAGTGGTGTGAACCTCGTGCGAGTGCTGTAAATTTGTTTCGATTCGTAATGTCCGACTCTGGTAGTGATGCTGTCCCTGGCGCAGCAGCCACGCCAAACTTACCTGTCAGCCCTGATGTTCAGGCTCTGTTGACCTTCATGCAGGCACAGATGACAGCCGCAGCGGACCGCGAGGCACGCCTGACTGCCCTGTTGAGTAGCTCCAATAGTGGCAATACATCCACATCGCAGCCCACGACGAAACAAATCTCGGTGGAACGGCCCATCCTGCTTTCCTCTGCCACGCTCGCGGACCTCAACGCATGGGAGGAGGCTTGGGAGGATTACGCGAGATGCCAGAAACTGTCCGTTCAGGACCGACTCACACGAGTTAGTGCTCTACGCCAGGCACTAGATGAAGACATAAGACGTTATTTGCGCGAGGGGATCATCGCCGTGGCCACTAATGCCGATGTCTCGGACATAATCTGTGCTGTCAAAAAATATATCCGTCGGCAACGTAACCCGTTGCTGGATTGGATAGACTTCTATAACCGACGCCAGCAACGTGGTGAAACCTTTGATGCTTTTTACACCGGCTTAAAGGAGTCCTTTGCTGCCTGCGACTTCGCCGACTTGCAAGTCTGTTCCGCATGCTCTGCCCGCATGTGCAGCAGTTGCCCCAAGATGCTGGTGCAAGCACACGAGGAGATCCTCCGTGACCGGATTGTTGTGGGTGTGCACGATGACGACACTCGGCACAAATTGTTAGCCGAACAATCCCTGACACTAGCTAACGCCGCAAAGATTTGCCGTGCTGAGGAGGCAGCAAAGCAAACTGGGGATGGTATTCTGCCGTCAGCATCGATCAACGCCGCCCGTAGGTCACAGTACCAGCGTCAGAAACGCTTTGGTGACAAGCCGGCGCCGGACGCCACCTCTAAGGCAGCACCCCAGTCTGCTTATTCATCACCCAAGAAATGTCCCCAGTGTGGCCGCTCTACGCATACCAAGTCTGCCTGCCCCGCTGCTGGCAAAACTTGTAACGGCTGCAAAGCCACTGGACATTTTGAAAAAATGTGCCCGAAGAAATCCAAGCAGCCACGTGGTTCCAAGATCGGCCAGCTGAAGCTCCAGCAAGCATCATCCGGGCAACAAGGCACCGTGTCTGTGACGACTACGCTCAACACGGAGGAGACAGGTGCAGCCATTAACTGGATACCGGACACCGGCAGTGATGTCGACGCCATTGGTCTTCGTCATCTTGACCTTCTGGGTGGATTCCCAGAAAACCTGGCGGAGGACCCAGACGTTGTCACCGGTGTGAACGGTCAGCCTCTCGTATCCGTTGGCCAGATCAGTTCCAGTCTTGGGCTAGGCTCCAAGACTCACCGCACCACCCTACACGTGTACTCCGAGCTGTCGGATGCCTTGCTCTCCCGGACATCCCTGTGTGCGCTCGGATTGCTGCCGCCCAACTGGCCTTCTGTTTGCCGAGTTGAGCGCAAACCAGCACCTGAGCCCACCGCCGACCAGATTCGCACTGAGCTGCTGGAGGAGTTTTCTGACGTGTTCGACTCTGACAGTCTGAAGCCCATGTCTGGTCCGTCAATGGACATTCAGCTCGAACCAGACGCTACACCTTCCTGTGTTCATCACGCTAGACCAGTGCCCTATGCGTTTCGGGACCAGATTAAGGAACAGCTTGACAACATGGTGAAGGATGGCATCATTGAGCCTGTCTCTGAACCCCGCGACTGGTGCCACCCTATTGTTATAGTCGACAAGAAGGGCACCACTGAGAAGCGTCTAACGGTGGACTTCAAGAAGCTGAACGATCAGATCCAACGTCCCACGCATCCGACACAGCCACCTCGTGATGTCGTCACCAGTGTCAGCGGTCGCTTCTTTACGAAGCTCGATGCTCGCCATGGCTACTGGCAAGTGCCACTCAGCGAAGCAGCGCGGCCATTGACAACGTTTATCACTCCATGGGGCCGGTATCAGTACTTGCGCAATCCGCAGGGCCTCATCTCGGCCGGAGACGAGTATAACCGCCGTATGAGCACGGCATTCGACAACATCACCAATTTCAAAAAGGTCGTCGACGACTGTCTCGTCTATGATGATGACCTTGGTGACCATGTGGCACGCGTCCGGCGCGTATTGTTGTGTGCGCGCGAGCACGGCGTAACCCTTAGCGCGAAGAAGTTTGTGTTCGCTGCTACCGAGATCGAGTTCTGCGGCTACATCCTGAATGCTGACGGTTGGACTGTCGATGACGCTAAGCTCTCCGCTATCCGCGACTTCTCCACCCCGACGAATCGGACCGACCTCCGATCGTTCATGGGCCTCGTAAATCAGCTTGCTGAGTTTACACCTGCTATCGCCGAGCTGGCGACACCGCTTCGTGGTCTGCTGAAGACGTCTGCTGTTTTCCAGTGGGAAACGCCACACACCGATGCGTTCAACCGTGTGAAGAATGCTCTGGTCGAACCCCCCATTCTGGCGTATTACCAACCTGGTCTGGAAACCCGTCTGGAAACAGATGCATCCCGCACGAAAGGTCTCGGCTATGCACTGTTCCAACTGCACCCGTCTGGCTGGCGCCTCGTCCAGTGTGGTAGCCGCTTTATCACCGACACTGAAAGCCGCTACGCTATGATTGAGCTTGAATGTCTTGCTGTGGTCTGGGCTGTGCGCAAGTGCCACCTGTACCTTGCCGGCAGCAGATTCGACCTCATCGTAGACCACCAGCCCCTGATTCCGATCTTCAACACGTATAGCCTGGATCAGGTCGAGAATCCTCGTTTGCAGCGTCTCCTGCTGAAGCTTCGGCCGTACCAATTTCATGCTTCCTGGAGACAAGGAAAGCTGCATTATGCCGCCGACGCTCTGTCTCGAGCACCCGTCTCCGACCCACAAGCATCTGACCTGCTTGGAGAAGACGACCTGCCATCTGGTTCTGCTATTCGTGCGTGCCTCCGTGCTGATGACTCTGGTTCGATGTCAGCATTACGCTATGCGAAGCTCCAAGATGCGTGCGCCTCGGACTCTGAGTATCAAGATCTCCTGCAGATGGTACTCACCGGCTTCCCACGCTCCTGTTCCGACCTTCCACGGCATCTGCAGCCCTATTGGAATGGACGCGAACACCTATCTGTCGACTCCGCCGTCGTACTGAAGGGCAATCGCATCGTAGTACCTGCTGCTCTACGTGCATCTGTGCTGCAAGATCTACACGCTGCACACCAAGGAATTGACCGCACCAAGCGTCGTGCGCGTCAACTAGTGTACTGGCCTGGTTTGAACTCTGAGCTTGACCGCCTTGTCCGTGCATGTCAGCCCTGTCGTGAGTTCCAGCCATCTTTGCCGAGAGAACCGCTGCAGAGTGACCGTCAACCGTCAATGCCGTTCGAGAGTGTCAGCTCTGACCTCTTCCATTGCCAAGGTTGGGAATACCTTGTGTTGGTCGATCGACTCACCGGTTGGCCGTGTGTTGCAAAGATAGGCCGCACAGCCACATCTTCTGACGTGGTTCGTCAACTTCGTCGCTGGTTTACAGATGTTGGCGTTCCCAGTGCAATCTCAACCGACGGTGGTCCCCAGTATGCGTCGCGACGCTTCACTGAGTTCTGCGACTGTTGGCAGATGAAGCACATCACATCAACCCCGCACTTCCCGCAATCAAATGGCCATGCCGAGTCCGCGGTGAAGTCCATGAAGTACCTGATTGCGAAAACCACTAGTAATGGCGACCTGGACACCGATGCCTTCCAGCGTGGTCTGTTGGAATGGCGTAATACCCCACATCCGTCTGGACCCAGTCCTGCCCAGCTGCTATTCGGTCGTTCGCTCTCGTCATTCGTGCTGGCGCATCACTCGTCGTTTGCCCCGGAGTGGAAACAGCGTGCTACCAGTATAGAGAGTTCTGATTCTCCACCTGTCTCGGATCCAGATTCGTCTCAGCCGCGCACGTTGTCTAAGCTCACTATTGGCATGCACGTAGATCTGCAAGATCCGCGCACCAAACGGTGGACAGGTCGAGGCATCGTTGTCGCCATTGGTACCCATCGAGACTATTACGTCAAGCTACGTAGTGGTCGTGTGTTTTGGCGAAATCGTCGCTTCCTACGGCCTTATGTCCCATTGCTGCCTGATCGCGTTTCTTCTGATAGTGCGTCTGAACCTGCTGTTCCCGCACCTACTGAGCCTGTTGTTGCACCCCGTCGCAGCACCCGTAACCGCCGTCAACCTGACCGTTTGAACATTTCTGCACACCAAGGACAGTCATATGTTTGATTAGTTTTTCTTCTTCTGTAGTCTGTGCTACACTGTGACTGTTCTCGTTGCCTTGCCTCTTGTTCATGTTTTTTTTTTTTTGTATCTTCATAGTTATTATGTTTAGATCATAGTCCGGCTTGTTCACCCATTATGATCTCGGAAGGGCGTGTTGTATTATTATGTACGCTATCCTATATGCAACCACCGGCGTGCATCTGTCTTATTGTACGCAGTTTACGTTAGCTTACGTCATGCATTGGTATTTGGCATGCACGCATGACTACACATTGAGCATGCTGATTCCGTTGTGCTGTTCTTTGTTTTGTTGTTCTTTTCCACTCGCTCCTCGATGGAGACTACTACAAAGTATTTATTAGAATAAACCAATACGTTTATCACAAGGCCCATGTAGCCAATTGCCTGCCACACTTCTGGCCAAACCACATCCAGCTCAACCCATCTGCTACACAAGGTGAAATTGGGCGCCAGGGATTCATCGTAGAACTCACCATCTTCAATATACAGATTGTCACATTTCATGTATTTGTATACGTACCCATACACAAGTACGATGTGTGGAAATGTGCTGCCTCGTCGCTCATTGCTTGGTGACCGTGTGTAGATGGTTCCACTTAGCCACAATCCTTTGGTAACCCGTCTCCAAACCTTGGTCAGGGTTGTGTTGACTACGTGCGTGATGAATGAGAGGCGCTGCTCTGCATTGCTTGCATCCCAGCAGCTCTGACTTTGTACAGAGAGCCTGAGCGTCTGATGATCATTGGCTTTCCAGGCATCCCTAGCATGAAGGATTCCCAGGGAATAGAAGCGAGTTTGGGCGGGAATTGAGAGAAATGATTCTGCATAGCCTGCGTCACGTCCATACACGAACGCCAGCGAAAGCCATGAGCCGTTCGTCTCCATCTCGTGTGCCGGCCTGAATCCGTCTTTAGGGCAATACCCGGGCGAGTAGGTATGATTATCCACCTCAAGTGTCGTGTAGATTCGGACCAGTTGCCAGTGTGTATCAGCCAATTTCTTTCCCAGCGAAATTTCCGCATCAATCTGGCTTCCCTCCGTATCGATTCCCTGATACTGGACCGGATTAATGCCATTGCAGATCTTCGGTATATCGTAAACGGCACAATCGGCAAATGAGAGCAAGCCAACCAGTACATGTAGGTACAAGGTTGTTAGACCCACAGTGAAACGCAAGTAAACCCATGATGACTGGTGCCTGCTCAGACTCGTCTTCATACTTGGTCCAGTTAGGTCCTTCATCTTGATCAGCACGAAGGTTCTGTTCGGTAATAATCGTTGTTATGAGTATTACCATGAAGAGGGGTTCTTTACGCTAGTCACATGATCTAGTTTGGCAGGACGTGTCATGTGTAGTACTGCAGTCGGTTTAATATGCAGAATCTACTAGATTCATCTCCTACCCGATCACAATGACCACTGTGATATGCGCGCATCCTTCTTCTCTGATGCGTCTACATGATTGTATTCTGCAGATCAAGGACTAGCACTGGCTCTACTAGTACTAGTACTAGCTCGTCTGGACTTTCACGACTTTCCTGGCACGTGGCATGTGCCCGGCCCAGCCTCAGGGCAGCACATTGACATGCACTGGACATGCAAGTGTCATCATGTCCATATGTACATGGTAGCACAGTTTTCATGCGAGCAATGGGACAACAGCATTTGTTAGGTTCAGCACGTCCACGACTCCCCAGTAGACCTACTGGTAGTGGTGCGTCTACTCAGCTGGACGCGGACATACATATACATTAACATGTACATGACCACCGACAGCCTCCTCGGCGCTTCCACAAGTGATCGTCAATGGTGGAACTGTTCCTGAAGAGAAGTAAGTCAAACTCCTGGGCGTAGCATTTACGCAGCACACCTCCTAGCCGTGGCCTCAAAGTCAGCCCAACGCCTTCACTTACTGAAAAAAGGTTGCGCCCCTGTTGGACTCTAGCGGCAGCGCGGCAGTCTACAAAGTCTTCGTGTGGCCAACGATGGAATACTGCTGCCTAGTGTTGATGTGTTCATGCACATCCACACTAGGCAGCATACATAACAAGGCGCTGAAGATTATTGGCCCAGGAGCCTGGCTCCTCAGCTTCGGACACCGCCCACTGGTTGCTGCGCTGTCGTTCACCTTCAAGCTGCCTGTCCTACCTCCCAACAATACCTGTAAGTCCCCTGACGCCCATCATCATCCCACCCCCAGCCAACCCCCGCCCAGTGGGTGGTCGATCTACTAGGCTAGCAACGGAGACTGCCCACTGCCATCCGCTCCAGCTCAAGTCAACGTTGCTCACTCCACCTCCATCCTTATTACTAGTAGTAGTACATCCCTCTCCAATTTCATTAAATACTGCTTTCTATCTGCATTCGCCACCTTTCCATTGGGCAGATCTGCCCGTTTGGTTTGCGAATTAAAATAAACACAACAACAACAACAATAACAACAACAACAACAACAACAACAACAACAACAACAACAACAACAACAACAACAACAACAACAACAACAACAACAACAACAACAACAACAACAACAACAATAACAACAACAAATTCACGCTTTAAAACTCGGATGTTGAGCCAATAATAAATATAGAAAAGAAAGGGACACATGGATACGAGTTAAGAGTAACTCTCCATCGCCTTAACCATTATACAGTCAGAAAGTGCAACAACTAGGCACAAAACTGACAGAGTACTGAGACATTAGACGTCCTGACACCTAGCTTCAACACATCTCCGTAGCGCTAACCGCCAGCCTTCCAGCTCGGAAGGTTAAAGGTTATGGAAAGACCAAAAAGGGGAAGGTAAGCGCAACGAAAACGAGCACAAGCTACAGTCCCAACGGACTTCGTTTTCGCAAAGCTTCCGCCTTCTTTACTTATCTTTGATGAGCCACCCAAGTTGGGTGGTGTGCTGCTTTGCTGCTTCGAATCGCAGTTAGACCACTTTGTCAAGTATCCTACTGGTCTTGTCATCGTCCAGTAACAATCGACATTCTTTGTTCCGTTGGGACTGTAGCTTGTGCTTGTTTTCGTTGCGCTTACCTTCCCCTCTTTGTTCTTTCCATAACCTTGAACCTTCCGAGTTCGAAGGCTGGCGGTTAGCGCTACGGAGATGTGTTGAAGCTAGGTGTCAGGACGTCTAATGTCTCAGTACTCTGTCAGTTTTGTGCCTGTAGTTGTGCCTAGTTGTTGCACTTTCTGACTGTATAATATCTGGTTACAGTGGTGGAGAGTTACTCTTAACTCGTAATCTTTCGTATCCATGTGTCCTTTTCTTTTCACCCTTTGTGGGTCTTACTCAATGTATGTGAGGGGTGGTCACGCAAACACGCGTACAAACAACGAGCCATAACTCAAGTTCCGTGAGTTGTAGGTATGGGTAAACTATATATTTTCAAAATCTGTATGCCTGGACGCGTCTAGAAAACACAAATATGACTATGTCCAGGCAAGGATATGACCCGTGGTAGCCCTTCAAGTTGAGAGAAAATACAATTGCGAACAAAAAAGCACAAAAATCACAGCACGAAGTGCATACCAAGTTCGTGATGGAGCTGAAGTCCTATGATAAACAATCAGGTAAGCGCTACGTCTTGGTGAAGAATATAATTATGCTCCTAATTCCGTCCTTGAACTCCATCGGCGATGCACCAGCAGCAACAGTTCCACAATATCACAATTTTGGTTCGTTCACCTCAGCGCCGCTCGCGTCAGATTCACTCTCGCTCAGATGAGTACTCAGGCGCGATGTCACGCGTGCCGTGATTCTCACGGCCAGGCGAATCAGCTGATG